GTTATTTTTATTGTTTTAATCAGATTCACAAATATATATATATATATATTAGAAATGAATGCTTCAATGGCATGTGCTCTTCCTATTTTGGCTTTGGTTTGAGCATGTGTAGTTTAATAATAATAATAATAAATGACCTCATATTTTTTTCTAGTATATTTTGGTACAAATAGAAGTCTATTTTTTCTTTTAGGCTGCTATACAGGTGAGAACCACGTCCAAACAAAAACAACCCAAAAAGACTTGCACTCTATTAATTTACTAACTGGTTGTTTTCTTTAAAGTGCCTCTATTATGGATTATGAAAAGTTCATATTTTGGTTTTGGGAGTCCTAGCAACAGGTTGACATGCATGCAAGGTCAAAACACACTTTCATTGTCTTATAATATGCATTTATTTTTACCTTACTTGCTCAACGACTCCCAAAAGATTCGCTCAACGATTAATTTTCCCAAACACCTCCTTTGCGTGACGCTAATCTGCGCTGATTGGCCCGATGACTCAGTCTGGTTGTACACCATCGTATTGCTCTATTCTTTATCATAACTGTGATTGTGGTGTGCAGGAGTTGGGTTATGGAGGCGGTTCTGAAGCGACTGCAGACGCTGACCGCGGATCAGCTGAGAGACGAGCTCACCGGCGCCGGACTCAGATGCGGCCCGGTCACAGCCACCACCAGGAGCCTCTTTGAGAAGAAGCTGGCTCGAACTCTTCTGGGGGAGGCCGCGGTGCATTCTGGGAGCTCACTTCCTGCGGAGGAGCTCCAGCAGCCAATCAGTGAGCAGAACCGAGAGGAAGTGACCGGTGAAGCTGAAACCCCAGAGCCGCAGACGGAGAGTCCGTGTGTTTATTACGGCGTGTGTCCTGAGCCAGACGACCCAGCGGCTGAAGAAGGTCTGTGTCAGTGCTGGAAACAGTACTAAAAAATTTTACTTAAGTAAAAGTATTGCTACTTAAAGCTGCTTTCTGATTTGAGTGGCACTGGTGGGAATTCAAGGGAAATTCGAGCATGCTGCCGCATCATTTCTAGAGCCCGACCGATATGTTTTTTTTTTTTAAAGGCCGATACCGATATTAGGAAATAAAAAAAGACTGATATCGATATATCGGCCGATATTCTTTGTGAGTATATTATAGTACAGTACCAGTCAAAAGTCAAAAAACTTTTGGCATAAACAGAATATATACAAATAAACACATTTTATGCAATGATCACTCAAATGTGGTGATCAAACACTTATAATGATGTGACAAACATATGTAGTGGAGGCAGGGTATTTAACAATTTAACAATAAACTTTATTATCCAAAATGAGTCTGACATCAGTGCACTTAACAGTAAAATTCACTTATTATAAATAACTTTAAAACACAAATAGAACTCTCTCTCTCTCTCTCTATATATATATATATATATATATATATATATAACTTGAATTAATAAAATAAACAAGGTAACTCTGTAGGGCAAAATCTGCCAATCCAACAGGTTTATGCAGGAAGCACAGCTTTAACAAAATTAAACATCTAAAATGAATAAATAATAATAATGAATAATATATATTTTTTTCACAAATTCTGTGTTGTGTATTTTCTGGTAATCGAATGAACACGCAGAACATGAGGATTCGTATTTAAATAGCCTTTTTGCAGTTTAATATCCACAGACACTAGTCTATATCGCGATTTGATTTAAGTGTACTGACCTGTTTTTTATTCATTCATCAAAAATATGACAAATTTCATGATATTCCGCGTTATATAGTAAATTCCGTTTTTATGAATGGATTCCGCGATTCCGTCTGCGTTTTCTGCATCGCGGAAATCACAGGGCCCTACTAATGTAGCAAACGAGTGTGATAAGCTCATTGTGAGAGTAAAAGACGTTGAAATTGTTGTTTATTTACTTTAGCATTAAGTGTCTCCTACTAGGTGACAACGTAGCGTTAAATCACCATTCAACAGACTCGAGCCACCACCGATCAGCGGCATATTCGCCGATACGATTTATCTGTGACAGGCTCATATCGGCCGATAATATCGGCAAAACGAAATATGTGATGAACGCTACTTTATCAGATAAAATGAAAATACCATCGAAAGTTTTCTGAAGACAGTCGGTTCCCTTCAGAGATACGTTCATATAAAACACCCGCGATGCGTTTTGATTTTGAAACGTGCAGCGCTCATGTTTATTCAACGAAGTCAAACGCCACAAATAAATCAATGTATGGGAAACACTGATAATGTATATCGGAAATGTCTTTAAAATAATTTCACTGTTATTGAAAAAAATTATATTGCGATACATATTGATATTGAATTATTGTCCAGACCTACTACTGTACACGTTAATACACACTACATACATATAGTCTCGCAGTGCTGATGTTGTTAACGTTGACAATTTAAGAACAAAGTATAACAATAATAATAATTTGCACAGTTTGATGTGATATGAGTTAGTTAGATGTAATCAGCATTGTTAGTGTGATTTATTCTAATGCTTTTTTCCTCAGTTGGTCAGAACAAATGTGGCAGACTGGTTACTTACTTGTTCAGATGACAATATCCAGTGAAAATTCTTATTTGGGTCATATGTTTTTGTTTTTCTGAGCAAAAAAATAAATATCATACATGTTTCCCTGATTTACAGAAGTGTAACAATCTTGTCAGGGATATTTACAACAAAAATCAATTTATGACGTATTAAAAAACAAATTAGTTTCACCCCAAATACTAATTAGTTGTAATTTTAAATTTTTTTAAATGTGCCTCTATCCTAGATTTTGCCCATTTGTCAGTAAGAATGTTTTACTAATTTAAAACACAATGAAATTTAATATGCTCCCTTATTCTTTTATATATTTTAATATGTACACATCAGAATAAGCATGTTGTTAGAATCTTTACATAAATATTGTGTTACACTGAATGACAATGTAACATTATTTAAAACAAATTTTGACATTTTATTCTCCAAAAACTTATTTGAAACCTTAAATGTAGACACTTTACTTGCATTTAATGTGCTTTCTATGGACATATAATCACTTTTGTCAATTTCTTTTGATGCGGACATCTTAACGCCTTTGACCCATATACTCAAGAAAGTAGAAGAAAATGAAAAAATGTACTCAAGTACTGTAACGAAAGTATTTGTGATTAGATACTTTCCACCTCTGGCCTGTGTTCATCGTGCTTCTGAGAACGCTTCATCATGACCATGTGATCGTTTCAGGATCGCTGCATGTGTACGGTGATAAGATGAAGGCGCTGAAGGCCGTGATGAAGCTGAAAGGAGCTCGATTTAAAGCCTTTGCCAGGAAAGAAGACGCGGAGAACTTCGCTAAAGGATTGTGTGTGTCGCAGCTCAAACTGTCTCCAGAGAAAACCAGCGCAGGTCAGTACAGCGCTCACATACACATCCAGACATACTGTCAAATGTGTTTCCGTGTTGTTGTTGCTCAGCAATGGCATGGACGTGATGTTGTCTGGGGGTGTGGCTAAAGGAGAGTGGGACGTGGGCGGTGCTCGGGGTGGTGACTGTGTAGTTCTGACGTCAACTTTTTACAGAAGTCACAACGGTTCATGAAAAATCACAGCTACTTTATGCAGGCTGTGTGCATTTTACTGTGGACTATCAAAAGTACGTTTTGATACTTATATGGTAGTTACATAGCACCTAGACCTCAGTTATGGTGAAAAAAGCCAGGAAATTTCAGTTTTGACTAGAATAGTTCCAGCATCAACTATCGGTGCCGATTAATCGGCAAAACCAATACATCGGTCAACCTCTAGTTTTGACAATATGGGACCTTTAAATTCTTCTGGATTCTATTTTTTTCTTCATATACCTTTTCTGGTTTCCATTTTCCCCGTTGCTTACTAGTTTGTTTGTTTTTTATATCCATACTTTTTATGGATTCCTTTCCCCCCCTGGTTTTATTTATTTATTTATTTATTTAGTTAGTTAGTTTTTTTTATTTATTTAACTTTTTCTGGTTTCCATTTTTTTTTAAGTTTTACTTTTTGGTTAAATGGTTAAATTGAATTTAACTGATCAAAAAACATGCCTAATTAATTAAATTCATGACACTTAAAGCATTAGTTCACCCAAAAATGAAAATTACTCTATGATTTACTCACCGTCAAGGCATGCTAGATGTGTATGACTTTCTTCTTTCAGATGAATCCAATCAGAGTTATATTAAAACATGTCCTGGTTCTTCCAAGCTTTATAATGGCAGTGAATGGGGGTCGAGATTTTGAAGCAAAATAAAGTGCATAAATCCATCATAAAAGTGCTCCACGCGCCTCCAGGAGTTTTTGTAAGGAAAATATCCATATTTAAAACTTTCTAAACCATAATCTCTAGTTGTACGCACGTTCATGAGAGAGTGGCGTTCCTGTTGAGAATTTACTAGGGATGTAACGATATCAAAATCTCACGATACGATGTTATTGCCATCGTATCGTATCGTATCGTATTGCCAAGACAAATGAGGAATTGGGAAAATTTTCTACATTTTAAAGTTAAATTATTCTATCTAATGCACTTTCAGAGTTCAGAATTAAGAGCTCCATCCCATGTTCTTAACTAAGAAAACTTAAAGGTGACATGCCACTTTTTACAATATGTAATCTAAGTCTCTGGTGTCCCCAGAAGGTGTCTGTGAAGTTTCAGCTCAAAATACTCCACAGATCATTTATTATATCATTTTGAAAATGCCTATTTTGAGTGGAAGCAGAAACACGCTGTTTTTCGGGCCTGTCTCTTTAAATGCAAATGAGCTGCTGCTCCCCGCCCCCTTTTCCAGAATAGAGCTGCGCCTTTACAGCTCAGACCTGCTAAAAACATCTGTTTTGGTTCTGATTATCATGTTTATCGCGCTGAAATCATGCGTTTTAAACCATATGAGTTTAAACTTCTGATATAGGGTTTTCTGAGCGCACACATCTGAAGCACACGCACAGAAAGCGGCTGTCACAGCATGCGAGCACTAAACTAAGTTCTAATTCACACAAGTTTACGTTAAAAACACACA